ATAATCTTGAGATATGCAACCAAAGCCTGACCCCCGCTCTCAGCCCCCCCATCATCTTTAATATTCGCAGAGGTCATCTACGTTTACAGTGACAGGAGTGCAAACACAATAACCAGCAAGGCTCTGCTTACAGAATTAAATATGTGAAATCTGTCCTCAACTGTGTGTCCAGGTAAACACACCTGAGTACTAACGACCGCTGCAGTCAGACAAGTACTCGAGTATCAGTTGATACTCAAAGCTTAGGGTTTGCAGACAGTTCGCTGGATTCAGCTTCCTGGACCACAAACAGCTCCGTGCACTCATGAATCACACGGACCAACTCATTCATCGGGTTTCACACATGCACTGCAGCCCCGAGCCGCTCCATCAAGCGCTCGGCTCCATCTCTGACTGCACGGCGTCCCGACCTGAGTCTTCAGAAACCTACACGTCCGAGGAGCTGCACTGAGCGCTCACGTTGTCTAATTCAGTGAAATCACAGGTTTGACTGAATAAAAAGAGAAACAGTTTCCGCCTAACCGCCTCAGAGACACCTGACAGATTTACAAAATTCAGCAGATGAAGATGATCCTGGTCTGTGGATGCATGTGCTCCCACTCACGGTGAGCACGCACCTCTCCCACAGGCTGACACCAGCCTTTGACCGTTACTCAGAACGCACTTTGTGAGGTTTCCTGTAGCAAACGTGACTCCGGGAGTGTAAAACTGATGGCTTCATTAAAGACCGGTACGACTGCAGGTGTTTGACCTACAGCACAAAGAAAAAGTCAGTGCTTGAAGAGAATCAGCTGAGGGGGTGAGGAAGAGTGGACGAGCCCTCCTGCTGAGTGTTTTGGTTTGCGGGGAAAGGGGTGGAGCTTGGTTTGAAACCCAGTTTGGCTGAAAAAGCCTGAAGCTGATCAGGACTTGAAGCCGTTTCCTGCTGGATTGCTGCCCTCAAACCATCAGAAAGGGCATGTTCTAACTCAACACGCCACTCGTCCTGTCGCACGCCGCCCTCTGGGCACGTTTCACTGTCATCATTCACATTTGGCCTCCAGTGGTTGTAAAAACACAGAGGTCAAGTCATCGGTGTGTTAGCAGTTTGTCTTCCTCAGAGACTGAAGAGACATTTGTCCCACCGAGACAATTACACAACTATGACAAAGACGAGCTCACACAACCAACACGAGATTGTTCCCAGAAGCAACCAGTCCAACGTTTAATCTGACAGACTGCAGCGACAGGATTAATCCAAGTTTGTTTTATGTTACTGATCATGTGACTTGATCAAGATAAACAATCAATAACAATCCTGATAATAGCCCCTCCCATCCACCTTCCTCCACCCGCTGTTCTCAGAACTTTATGAGTGTGAATGAGTTTTGTCTCACACACACACACACACAGAGCTGTACCAGCCTGTACCAGACAGGAAAACAGAGAGGAGGGAGTGGAGGGTGGACACACTGAAACGGAACAAAAACAGCTTCAATTATTTTATGTGAGCAACAAAAGCCCGTCAAACTGAAAGATAGTCTCATCTGAGTCATGGACACGCAAGTGGATTTAAACATGTTGAACGTGACACCGATTCCTCCCCCACCCTCCAGAAACACCACAGCCTCTAACAGCCTTTCACGTTCTCTCACAAAATCTGATCGGTTGACTGGAGAGCAACGTCCTGGCTCTTATTCTGAAAGTTCCCAGCCCTTCCTGTCACGTCTCTTTGCTGCTTCCCTACTAAGGCTCTCATCCTGCGGACGAAGTCCTCCACCTCTGCACTGGACTGCAGCTGGTGATGTAGTCCTGGTTCTAGTCTGGAGGTCCTGCACCAGAACCAGAACCTGCAACAGGTGGAGAACTGGTTCCTAAACCACTAACTAACCAGCTCACCTGAGCAGGACAGACTGGTCAGCAAGGCCGTGTTTGTGAGAAAGGAAGCATGAGACAGAAAGGGCTGGATCTTTCAAAATAAAAGCAATCAGACTGTCCGGTAAGTAAAAGTAGAAGGTGCTGTTCTCTGGCAGATTAAATAAGGAAATTTTGTAAAATATTAAAAAAAAAAAAAAAACATAAGCATGGAAAGGACTAAACTCAGTCCTCAAACACACCTGGACTTCAGCAACGTCCCACTGCCTGAGGACGCAAATGGACCAAATCAGACAGCAGTGACCAATCGGCCCCGGCACGAGCCCCCCAATCAGGCCGGAGAAGAAGCGAGCGAGCGAGCATTCCTGAGAACAGAGGACGTCTGTCTCTCTTTGGCCGGACGCCCTCAGCCCCGTCCTCACCTCACTGCTTCACCAGGGCTCTGCGTGGATGGTAAAGTGAGGCTCCCACCGCTCTCTGAAATTCAGCCAATGACCCTCCACATCCAGCTCGCACAACACCTGCAGCTTTCTTTCTGTGCTGCAGAAGCAAACCTACATCCGCAAACCTACATCCGCTGACGAGGAAACCAAACACAGGCACCCAACCTGACTTCCACAGCACCCTCACAGATAACACCAGCCTTATTAAGGACAACAAAGACGAGCTTCAGGGAAAGCTTTGACTTCAAAATAAATCAGAAAAATACAAAACAAGTCCAATGGTTCCTTCTCCAAAAAGATAAACACTAGTAGTTCTCAGAGAAAACTCACTTCTCCTGCAGAGCCTCACTCATCTTATCTCTTCATTTGGGTCTGAGGTCTGAGAGCCGAACACACAGCAAGGGGAGCTGCATCTTAAAGGTGGAGAGCACTCAGAGTCTGGAGCCCTGATGTGAAACTCTTACAGGTGAGAAAACTTTCCACAAACACGCCAGACACGCATGTGCAGCTGAACCGTGACCATGTGCAGGAAACTGCAGATGCAGCAATGAGTCACATCCAACCAGCCACCGACCGCGGTCACTTCACCACGCCGTGGGACTCCAAGGCAGTCCTGATGTCATCAGATGAAACATCTAGCACCCGAGAGCCGGCTGCCCTGTGAACAGCTCACACTGAAAGGTGACAAATTCTGTCTCACCTGCACAGGTGTGATCAGAGCGGCAGCAACAAGGAAGGGGAGTGTTCTGTGTCCTCGTGCCTGCTGCAACCCGTTCATGCTGCACAGGTAATGCAGCTCCTCCACACCTGCTGTGTCTGCCAGCAGCATCAGGAGGAGTAGACGCCAGGACCAGACCAGCATCCGCTCCACAGTGTGAGGAGGCACAGGAGGAGCACGGGGGACCTCCAGCGGCTCCTCGTCTGACTGAGATCTCCCAGACAGACCCTGTGATGGTGGCGTGAGGGCGTGACGCCCTTTAGTGGGACCTGCGCTCGCATCCAAACTACGCTCTTTGTAACACTCAACATTCACAGCAACTGCATCGTAACTTTATTCACAGAAATTCAATCAGATAAATGAATTCTGGGCACCAGTTTACTCAGAGGGTGAGCTGGCGACCGTGTGATCCATGGCCAGGAAGCCGGGTATGAGTCCGACCCCCCCCCTACTGTGCCTCCTGTCTGTCTCCATCCAATAAAGGCTATTAAAAAATAATAAATGAACAAGTAAAATTTAAAATATTGCGACTCTGCTTTGATGGAGCCACCACTCTCTCTGGAGCAATGCCCCGCCCACAGACATGTCTGATTGGAAGGCAAACGCAGGTAAACATTAAACAGGTAAACTTCTCCAAATTTTATCTACTGAAACTGCAGAACCACGACTCTGTCCACAGCAGTGAGACAAACCAGCACAAGGTCACGCTGAAAATAGTCTAATAATAATGCAGAGACTCACAGTGAAGGCCGACAGGCTGCTGGGAGGGCGGGGTCACATCTTAACACCGCCCACATTCACAAGAAACTCAAATATTTAGGACAGAAATCCCCCAAAACAAGCGCAGAGAACTACAAATTTACAAGAAACACATACCATGAATTAATTCGTTTTTTCATAAAGGTATGACTTTTTCTAAACTCAAATATCAAAATAATAAAAAATGGAAAAAATTCAAATATTGACAAAAAACGTTACTTTAAAAAATGTAAAATAAAACACAAAAAGATCCCAAAAAATTCCCTCCAAAAATGACAAAAATGTACAAATATTTATGAGGAAAATGTAAACTTAAAAAAAATCTATTTACCAAAAAAGAATTAATAAAATTGTGGGGCAAAAAATAAAAGCAAAGAAATTCAAAAACTGATTAGGAAAAAAGTAACTATTTACTGAATGCCCGTCACACATGTTTGTTTGTTTAAAAAACAACAACAAATAAATGAAGAATAAAGCCCAAAAAAAAGCGCACAAAACATGACTGGGAACATATATGCGGGGTAAAAACAAACAAACAAACAAGAGAGAAAAAATAAAGAAACCCCAAACGCTGAGAGGACTGCGTGAGGAGGCCGGGCTGGGCTTGTCCCTCACACCGACTTAAGGTTTGAATACGAGCCGCCCACTGCCACCGAGTCCTCGGTAATCTCGGACCTGATAACGCTCCATTCAAAAACACATTTCCTTCCACGGCAGTCACGGGGAGCGGCAGGGAACAGGAAATGAACGCTTTATTTCTCTGTACAAGGAAATAAGAAGCTCACTGTAAATACAGCTTCCTGTAGTTTGACAGGTGGTCCAGCACTCAGGTTAACTTCAGCAGGACTACGCGGCGGCGTTTTAGTAAAAATGGCGCTTTTAGTCGCTGCTGAGGTGGAATAACTGAAATAAAGATAAGCTGAGCGGTGTATGCAGGTACCTCTCCCCCAGCCTGGAGTTTGTCTCACTGACAGCTGGCTAACCTTAGCTCACTCTCGAGCCTCTCTGCGTTTTCCTGCTTCTCTCACCCGAGCGACAGGGCTCCGGGGCGGACCGGCTCCGTTCACGGCCTAAACTCGGACACCTGGGTCGGTTTGGCCCGTCAGCGAGCCGCCCTGCTCGAAGAAACGCACTTTATTCGAGCCTAGCGTTAGCTGCTAGCTGCTAGCGGCACCTGTTGATAACAAAGCCACTTGAGAGCGAACAGAAAGCGCTGGAAGCCTCACCTGCTTCAGCGCGACCTCGGCCTCTGTCTCACGACTCAATCCCCCGGGAAATTGCCGGGTCACAGCACAGCTCTGAGCCCTATCCGCCACTCGCTTCGCGGACTTTCTGTCGGTGATTCTCCGTTTCTCTGGCAAAGTTGCTGCTCGGACACCACCGGAGACCTCCCCTCCTCTTCCTCACTGTCATTCCCAGCTCCAGAGAGGGGGCGGGGCCAGCGAGCCACCAGCTAGATAACACGGTGACGCTGATTGGACGCGCCTATGAAAGGAATTTGGTGTCAGCCAATGAGACACGCCGCTACATGGAATGCAGCACAGCGAGGTTAGCGTTAAAAGTAAAGCAGGGGCTTCCCCAGGATTTTTAACAGGGGGTCAAGAACACCAACATGGGGGGTTCTGATCATAAATAAATAAAGAGTTATTTAAAGTCTTCAGGTGAGTACAAGTCATAGTCTTCCGTACCCTGTCTTGGATGTATGCAGCTCGTTGGACTGCTGTCTGCTTCAAACAACCACACGGGGAAAATAAAGTTATCCTCTACCTCGCTCGTTGTTTACTCTGAGTGATGTCAGTTTCATGACATCACTCATAAATGTGATCTGTTCAGTCAGCTGTGCTGTGTTTAACTTCTGCCTGCTGTGATTATCTTCGTGCATCATCAGTGACACACTGTGAGGAATGTAATTCGATGAGAATGTGCGGACAGGTGGGATAAAAGCTGCAGATTCAGTAAATCACTTTTTGGCACCCAGTCTGGCTCAGAGAATGGTGGTCGTGCTCACTCAGAGAAATAATAACAAATACCACAGACTTCCAAAATAAAAGTCCTATTGTACATCAAATGTACCCAAATAGATTATTGGATTGTAACTGAGACAGTCATGTGTTCTACACTTGAATGGTCTCCATGGGTTTGATCATTTTGTTGTTCTAGCCTTCCCAGTGCATTTCAGATCCAGTTTAACAATCTATTATTTGTTTCTCAGAGCGTCGATGGTTTGGCACCGCCTTACCCGACAAACCGTTTGAAACCCTTCAGTTCTACCACAGCACTGAGGCACTGCTGCTCCTGGAGATTCAGAGATCCAGGTTTGAAAGCAGAGGCGATGGAGCCTTCTCAAGGGTGGCTGCTAAACTTAGCTTTTCACATTAGAGCTGCCCGAACTCTAAGTCACTATAAACAAAAAACAACTGCTCTCAGGTCTGTTAGAGCCGCACACCCCGGCTTTTATTATGCAGCCACAGTCTTTACTCGTAATTTGTAGTCTGTATTCAATGTTGATTTAGTGATTGTTTTATACAGTGTACATTTGGTATAAGTTGCAATGCAACATGCAATAAAACTAACCTTTGACTTTAGAGTAAGGCCGTCAGCGAGGGTCTGCTGCAGAAACACTTCAGTACTAAAAGCAGGTTAATCAGTAACTTTCAGGACATAACGAGCTCTCCAGCCGGAGCAGGTGAATCATGTGAAACGCTGCAGCTGGTCTGAACTTTTCTCAGGACTGTGTGATCTGCAGCAGAGCCAGAGTGAGGCCGGATGCAGTAAAGCACTTCCTAACAGGGATGAAAACATCCACACATTCCTGATGTCGGATTATTTTTATTTCCAGACATGAAAAATGAGGTCAGCTCATCATCATCATCATCATCACCACATCGGTCGGTCGTTGTGTTCAATAAAAAGACAAATGTGCACATTAAATGAATATTCTGCATGTTAATAAAGAATCTGAAACTACATTTCCCATGATGCACAGAACAGCCGACTAACCCTGCAGATAGAATCTGAGGGGGCGGAGCTTCAGGTCAGAAACTACAACAAAACGTCCTCACGCGCAGCTTCAGAGTCCGTTTTTACAGCGCCGGA